TTTAAAAATATGTGATTTTGGACTTGCTCGTTGTGAAGAACCAAACAGGTCTAGAGAAATGACACAAGAGGTATCAATGAATTATAAGATATTTTTTTATTACACTAAAGGCGTTGTTTTAAGGTATTTTTGTTTTTTTACCTTTTAGGTTGTTACACAATACTATCGATCACCTGAACTTCTTTCTGGAGCAACTTACCATTCGTATGGAGGTGGATTTTTAATTAGTTCATATAAGATAATATTTTTTGCAGATAACCTGTTAAGATTCATTCATTTAACTTTCAAACTTTCATGAACACAGCATTAGTTGTGGTTTTTTAAAATAGAAACAAAGATTAAGAATAATATATTTACAACATTGAATACTTAGTATAGAAAAGAGATAATGTAAAAAATTTTATTCAAATTATAGCTGATTATGGTGCCACTTCCCATTCCTATTTTTTTGTTAATGCTATTGTTATTTATTAGATATTATTAAATTTATTGATAGTTTATTGTTTCGGCAATATTTCTGTTTTTCAAAAGAGTTCTCCAGATCTTTCTTAAATATACTATCAACTATTTAACCAAACTGTTTTTCCCGGCTAGATGCAAAATGTTGCTTATTGCTTCTCTCTTTTATAATTTTAAAAAACACTCTGACTATCATTCAATCAGTCTTGTCACTGCTATAACAATTTTGTGTTAAAAAGTTCATTGAAAATCTCCTACATATATTTATGTATAATTTCTTTTCGTATGATTTTTCACTATATATAGTTCGAATTTCTCAACTTTTTTATCTTATTCAAATAAAAAAAGTAAAAAAAAAAATTTAATTTTGAATCAGGTTTAGCGTTTGTATTTTTATTTTTTTAACTTTTTATTAGTTGATATATGGAGTGTTGGATGCATTTTTGCTGAGCTTCTTGGTAGAAAAATTCTTTTCCAAGCTCAATCTCCAATTCATCAGGTTTTTAAATTGATTTTTAAAGAAGTATTTGAATGTGGTAGTTATAAAAAAATTATTCATTTAATTTACTAGTTAATAAGTAAATAATATATATAGTTATATAAAATATATTTGTTAAGTTAATTTAAATTGATGCTGCTTTTTTTTTTTAATAAAATAAGAATAAAAATTTTGGAAGTTTTTTTTATTTGTTCAAATGAGTGGGTTTGTTAAACCTAGAATCACAGATATTAAATCAGTAATTTATACAATATTAGTGTTGGAATAATTTTTGTAATAAGTATTTTTTTTAATATATTTTTTTATAGCTAAATCAAGTAATTAAACTACTGGGTACTCCTCACCCTGATGATATTCGGTCATCAGGTGCTAGCGAAGGTGCATTTTGTTACATTATGTCTCAACCTTACCGACCACCAGCAATGCACACTCTTCATAATTTATCTAGCCGAGCTAATCATGAGGCAATACATTTACTTTGTAGAATGCTTGTTTTTAATCCAAATAAGCGTATAACTGTTACAGATGCCCTAACACATCCATACTTAGATGAGGGCAGATTGCGCTATCATACATGTATGTGCTCCTGTTGTTCAACTTCTGCTGCTGGAAGGCAATATGTTAATGGTATAGACAATTTTTAGTTTATAAAATGATGAAATGTTTAAGTTTTAATGTTTTATTTTATTTAAATGAATAATTAAAAGTTAAATGTCTTTAATTTTTTTAATTTTATTATATTTTTTTTAATTTTGTTGTATTGCCTTATCTGTATCTATATTGATTTTATTATTAGTAGTGTTTTATATTCAGCTAAATCTGCATTTATATGTATATGTATATGTATATATATACAGGCCTTGTGATGAATAAAAACTGCGCGACGCATAAGCACGACATGATTTTTGACGTCATTAAATTCTTTTTATTTGCTTTTCATATTTTTCGACATTAACTGCACCAATTTACTTAATTACCGCAAAACTACTTTAAATCATTAATGTAGAAATGTTATTATTTAAAAATGTTTTGGAATGTTTCGTTTTTAAAAATGTAAAAACATTTGCTTATTTTCTCGACATTTGACACGTTTTGTCTATACTAAACGAATAAAAAACATAATTAAAATTTATAAAAGATTATAAAATATGCTAATATTTGATTTTTTTTTTCTCAAATATGTAATTTAAAGTTTTTCAAATAATTATTTTTTCTTTTTAAAAAGTCAGCGAGTAATAAACTGGAAATTTTAATATTGTACGATTAAAAACTGTGCAATAGCTAATATTTTTACCAACGATTTTATAAAATATTTATTTATTTTTATTTATTTTCATAAGGCGGTTGATAAGCACAATCACTCGTATTAATAAAAAAATAGATTTTTAATGTTAACAAGGAATTTTATTGCTAGTAAAATAAAATAAAATGTTAGAATAAAAATCTTATAGGTATAAAAGAAATATTTCAGCGAAAAAATTATTATTAAAAATTATTCGAAAAACTATTGACGTTCTATTTTTCAGCAGCTGTTCTTGAGCATGCTTCGTTGAGTTTCGGTAACTTTTAACATAAAAGCGATCGTTATTATTTAAGTAATTTTTTTGAGTTACTTTTTACAAAAATTTTAATAACTGTACGTTTTTGAATTAAGTAGAATAGGTTTTAATATTAATCCTTTTATTTTTTTTTTATTTGCGCTCACCAATTTTTAAAATGTTTCCTCGAAATTACTCTTAAATACTTTAAATACGTCTAACAGTTAATAAATATTTTTAAATCTATGGAATAATTTTAAAACCTAACAAACCCCCATAAAATGATTGTTTAAGTTTAAAATCTAAAACTAAAAGAAAGTATTTTTGTTCAATTTTATCGACAACTTTGCTATTGCTGAATAATTTTATTAAAATGTTAGCTTAAAAGATTTAAACTTTTTTTTTAATCTGAATTTTTTCTACTTGTAAATAATAAGCATATTTAATTTTTTTTAATTCAAACTTTTATATCAACTGCGTGCGGTTTTTAAAATACTTTATTAAATGTTAAAAGAATCGTAAATTACTTCATTAAAATTCCGCTCAAAAATATCTTTAAATATACTCAAACAAAAAATTTTTTGTCGACGCAAATAGCCCTAGCTACACGCAAAATCGCTCTTGGACGACTTAAAATTCACATCGCCCGACGCTTTATCGCAAGGCCTGTATATATATGTATATATATATATTATATATATATTATATTATATTATATCAGGGCCTATTGTAGGAAGAAAATTTGGGCGGTGGTACCCCCTCGTTTTGGCGGACTTTAGCAGAAAATCAGCGTTATTTTTGCGAAATATATATATATATATATATATATATATATATATATATATATATATATATATATATATATATATGTATGTATGTATGTATGTATATATATATATATATATATATATATATATATATATATATATATATATATATATATATATATATATCAGGAAAATAAATACCTGTTGTAATGACATTTTGTGGAAACATTGCCATATATAAGCATTTTTTGGGAATAAAAACAATATTTGCTCTATAAAAAAAAAAAGGTTCTCAATGTCTGAATGTAGGCGGTGCTCAAATGTCGCCTAAATATGTTAAACGCTATCAAAAAGAGTCTAGAATAGCCTCTGATATATATATATATATATATATATATATATATATATATATATATATATATATATATATATATATATATACAGTTAACCATGTGTGAACAGGTGTCCATTAGGTGTAGCGTTAGTAGAAGTGCAAAGTAAGGAACCCATTGAATGAAGGACATCGGGTAAAACATTTTCCCAGTTCATAGTAGGTAACTTCTTTGATTTGAGAGCAAGCGAAATTTTTTTCCAAATTATGCCATTGTATCTTTTACACTGACCATTGCCCTGAGGATTATAAGGAGTAGTTCTACTCAGGTTGACACTTCGTGAATTAAGAAAATTTCGGAGCTCTTTAGACATAAAGCAAGTGCCTGGATTTGAATGTATATAAGCTGGCATACCAAATAAAGTGAAAAGTTGAGTTAAATATTTAATTATGGTTGAAGTAGAGATATTATGACAAGGAAATACAAAAGAAATTTTGGTAAACTCATCAACAACTGTTAAAAAATATTTGTTGCTAGATGACAACGAAATAGGTCCTTTAAAATCCATGCTTAGTCGCTCAAAAGGTTGAGTAGATTTTATTAGGTGTGGTTAAAGTTGCTTACTTAGTATTTAGGTTTTAATTCAGCACAAATTTGACACAAAGAAATGGTTTTTTTACATCATTAATTAAAAAAAGCAGATTTTTTATTTTATAAAATGATACACTGGTGATTCCAGGGTGGCGAATAGATTCATCTAGTTCCTTAAGAGAGGGTCCGTTTATAGTCATAGAACAACAAGATCTAGAGAGGGCATCAGCAACAAAATTGTTTCGTCCAGAGCGGTAAACTATATCATAGCTGTACGAAGAAAGTTCTATCCTCCTATCCTCCATAATTTTTCCACTCATGTTATTGTCAAACATGAAAGAGACAAAGCGCTGGTCAGTAACTAGAGTAAAATGCCGACCAACAAGGTAGTGTTTCCATTTTCGAAGTAATTCGACTATAGCATAAGCTTTCTTCTCAACAGAAGAATGTTTTTTTTAGTAGGCAAATGTTTGCAAGAAAAGAATTCAACTGGCCTTCCAGCCTGATTAAGGGAAACAGCTATGGCAAAATTGGAGGCATCTGTTTCCACCTCAAATGGTATACTTTTATCAATAGCTTGTAGAGCTGAGAGATTAATTCTTTTATTTCAAAGAAACATTTAATAGCTTCAGTTGACAGTGGAAAGGTAGAAGTAAGAGATAAAGGTTGAATTTTGTCAGAAAAATGTTTGATATATTGGGATAAGTATGAGAACATACCAAGGACTCGACAGAGAGAAGAATTATCGGTGGAAGCAGACATTTCAATTAATGGTTATAAGCGATCTGGATCACCACTTTCTATAATAAAACCTAGGAAGGTTATACATGAAGTAGACAATATAGGCTTTTATTCGTTGAATGTAAACATTGCTTTCTTAGAAGCTTTAAGAAATTTTTATAAATTGAAATCATGTTTATTTTTAGATGTACCACATACAAGCGAGTTATCTAGATATATAAAGGTGTCTTCAATTTGTTTTCTTGAATAAAATTATCCATAGTTCTTTGAAATTGTGCAACAGCATTTGTGAGGCCAAAAGGAATTCTTTTAAATTGGAAAAGATGTCCATTGGACTCAAAGGCAGTATAATACTTGTCACTTTCTAGGAGAGGTATTTGGTGATAAGCACTTTTTAAATCAAATGTGCTAAATAATGAATATTTTGCAACAGAGTTAACTAATTCATTGATGTTAGGTAAAGGATAAGCATCAAGTAGTGTAAAGCAATTTATTGTTTGTGAGTAATCAATGACCATGTGTTTCCTATGTCTCTCATTCCTGGTAACAACTATTTGTGATCGCCAAAGAAAGTTACTGGGTTCAATTATATCTAGTTCCAAAAGTTTTTTTGTTTCTTGCTCAATGAATGCTTTGTCCTCTGAGTTAATCGTCTAGAAGGTGAAGCAATCGGTCTACATTCTGGAGATGTGCTAGCTTTTATTGTAATACTATTTAGAGAACAGATTTTTTAAGAATCTTTTTTATCACCATAATTGATATGAAAACTTTGGTGCAACTGTAGGAAATCTCTACCAAGTATGAGTTCGCAAGAGTTGGGTATAACCAAAAAGTTAATATTAGAATAAGTTAATATACTTCATACCAAATAAAGTGAAATTAGTTGAAACTTTATCTATAACTTGACAAGATAAGGAAGGATCAGCCATAGAGATTCCTTTATTAGAAGGGATTATATTAAGTTTCAAAGAGTCACACAAGTCATCCTTGACAATTATGTCCAGTCAGATACGCATTCTGCGTGTCTGGCAGGACATGATTGTCAAGGGTGATGTTTATTTCCACAGAAATAACAAAGTCCACTAGGTTTAGTAGAAACTGAAGCGAGCTCAGTAATACATTCAGAATGTTTATTAATTGTAGCAACATTACTATATTCTGTATGTGAATACATTTCATTATTTCTTTGAGCGTTTTCCAATGAACGAGCTTGATTATAGGCCTCAGTAAGTTTTAAGAGTAAAGTTTTCTAGTAGTTATTGGCGAATATGATGAGAGCTTAGACCACTTATAAATAAATAACCAATGTATTCTTCACAATGTTCTGAAGCAGAAACCTGTTTAAAGTTGCAATCTTTACTGAGTATACATAAGGCCTGCAAAAACTCATCAAAAGATTCTCCAAATGATTGTTTACATAAAGCTAACTGATGTCTGGAAAATAAATTCATTTTTTAGGTTTTACAAATAAGTTTTCCAGAAGTTCTATAGCATCATCAAATGATTTGATATTCATTTAATGTCAGTGATATTCATTTAATGTCAGTGATCTTCTTTTAATAATATGTAAACTAAAATAAAAAAAGTAAAAAACCAGTTAGTTTTAGTATACACATAATTTAACTCAACAAGGATAATGATAATTATACGAATCAGCACAATATATATATATATATATATATATATATATTATATATATATATATACAGTTAACCATGTGTGAACAGAGTGTCCATTAGGTGTAGCGTTAGTAGAAGTGCAAAGTAAGGAACGCATTGAATGAAGGACATCGGGTAAAACATTTTCCCAGTTCATAGTAGGTAACTTCTTTGATTTGAGAGCAAGCGAAATTCTTTTTTAAATATATATATGTATATATATATATATATATATATATATATATATATATATATATATATATATATATATATATATATATATATATATATATATATATATATATATATATATATATATATATATATATATATATGTATGTATATATATATAAATATATATATATATATATATATATATATATATATATATATATATATATATATGTGTGTGTGTATATATATATATGTGTGTGTGTATATATATATATATATATATATATATTATATATATATATATATATATATATATATATATATATATATATTTTTTACATTTATACATATTTGATAATTTTTAATTTTTCCCATGAAATTATATTTGATAGGAAATGTAATTTCATAGATTACATAATTTCACATAGGTTTTAAAATAATAATATAGAAGACTAGAAAAAGGTAAAAATATTAAGAATTTTTTTAATTGATAGATTACCTTCTAGGTATATTATGACTTGTTTAAAGTTTTCTTTGTGTTATTTTTAATTGCTTTAATAAAAAAAGTTTTAACTTGTCTTAAATTAAATAACTATTAAATGTTTCTTAATTATTATGTTTTTTAAATGTTTTTTCAAAAATGATAAGATATCTATACTTAGAATAAACTTTTTAATTTTTATGACCTTAAATAACATTAGAATAACCATAAACACATAATTGAACAGTTTTATCTGGTAAAATAAATTAGTATTAGATTTTAAAAGTTAATGAAAAATGATAATCACCCTAAAATTTAGAGTAAAAAAGCTTGAGAACAACAGACATTTGAACAGTAAGTTTTATTAAATTTTAAATGACTAAAATGCTTGTTATGAATAAATTTGAGAAACAAGTAAAATTAAAAACGAGTTTTTAAAACCCAATGCTTTTATATGCTATTATCAATTTTTGAAATCAATTTTTTCTGATATTACTATTTTTGTTTTATTAAGCGATAGTGGTTAATTTTATTTTTCATGAAGTTTTGCTAATCACATATAAAAATTCTTCTTCTTCACATATAAAAAATAGATTTAATTAAAATCAATTAAATTAATTGACTTATAACAAAACTAATTATTAAATATTGTGTTGTCATCAAGCAAGAATATGTATGCAAAATTTGAAGAAAATTTATCATCAGGAAGTGACTCAAAAATTGATTGCAAGATTTGGTATTAACAGACAGAGACAATTAGTTAATAAAATTAGTGGGAAAATGAAAAAAGAAATTAAAAAAAAATTAATGATTTTTTTCGAAAAGAATACCTGTCTAACTTAAAAAAAAAAACAAGTAATTGCAATAAATAAATAATGAACTCATATTAAAGGAATATTATACATTTTTTACATATATTTATTTTTGCATGTCCACTTTTTTAAAGCTTCAGGTTGGCAGTTGTAAGCAATAGTAAAGCAAAGATAGATCGGCCTCGGCATTGCCGAATGACCTGGTTTTCGCAGCTAAAATATATATGTATTTTTATTTAAGTATATGTGTATGTATGTAAACACACACACACAAGAGGGATTATAATAAGGCAATCATTTGTGTATATAAAACACACATGCAAACAGAATATGAGACTTAAAAATAATAAACAAGGCTTACTATCTTAAAGTAACAGGTGTGTATAATCACTCTTGCCTAAACAAGTTTAGAGAAAAAAATGACAACTTGTTCACATAGTTTCATGTAAAAAAATTTTAATAATAATTTTTGTTAAAGAAAAAAAACATGTTTAATCAAACTGAAATTCTGTAAAGTTTTTCTCTACTTTTTTTTTTGTTCAAACAATGAATAGAAAGCTTATTTTTAGAATGAAGTGTTTACAATTTTGAGAACACACTGTTAAAGCATGAATAAGAAAAGTTAAACTTCTTTTTAAATTTATAGTATGGTTGTAATATTTCACACTATATATATATATATATATATATATATATATATATATATATATATATATATATATATATATATATATATATATATATATATATATATATATATATATAAAAATGTGTGTATGTCTACATATACATATATGTTTATTTCTTCATCAGTAGGTTCATCAAGAAGCTTCCTTATGAACCTACTGGTGGAGAAACAAATTATTGAAGACAAAAATGCTGGCCTTGTTTCTATGTTTTATGGTAACCCGTTTTTGTCAAAAATTTTTCACTGACCTGATGCCGACCTCTTATGGTGTTAGATTGGCAATATATTGGCAACCTCATTTTTTCTATATATACTATATACTCAATCCATATGGAAGGATACAATTTCCTTACATCATTTAAATATGTGCATTTAATTTTTCAGAGAAAAGAAAAAAAACAAAAAATAATGAGAGAAAAGATGGCTGCCCCATGCAAAACCCTCAGTCAATGTAGCAGCTCTCTTTTGCAGCAGCAAACTATAAGTTAGTTGATGTGTATACATCGATTAACTTATAGAAGTTGATGTATATACATTGACTAACTTATGAAGCCCCTGCAACTTCCTGTATTTTTATGATGTCATCTGTGTGCATCTAATGCTAGATTTATATATATATATATATATATATATATATATATATATATATATATATATATATATATATATATATTTATACACACACACACACACACACACTTACTAAAGCGTGTTTTGATAAGCATTTGCTCGCTTTTTCTGCTTACCTTAAGCTATACCGTTTTTTTCGAAAAAGAAGAAAAAACGAAGAATGATGAATGAAATTTTTTCTTCCCCATCCCCAACCCTCAGTCGATGTAGCAGCGCTCCACTGCGAGTCAGGCTATTTGTCAGTCGATGTATGTACTGAAGCCCCCAGCAGCAGGCTATTTCAGTATGACGTCAGATTGCTTACCTTATACACAATACTATTTGTATTATATATATATATATATATATATATATATATATATATATATATATATATATATATATATATATATATATATATATATATGTATATATATATATATATTCATGTTATACATAGTGTGAGTTTCATTGTTTAGATTTGGAGCCATGTGCACCCTTTGCATACGACTTAAGTTACGAAGAAAATTTATATACTGTGCATCAAGTCAGAGAAGCTGTATATCACTTTATTTTGGATATGCATAGAAAATCTGGTGTTGTTCCACTTTGTTTAAACACTGCTTCTCCTGTTTATTCACAATTTCAAACGTAAGTCTTGAATAGTTTCTAGCTATTTCTAAGTCCTAGTTGTTGAGTCATATTAGGTCTCTTTCAATTTTTATAATTGATTGGTTGTTGTTATTCGGCATTTCACATTGAGATTTTTACATAGATATTACAGCAGTAGCTGATATTTCACAATGATACTAAAACATTAGTATGGTTTTTATTATTTTATTAAAAATATTTGTATGATTTTTATTATTAATATAAATCAAGGCTCGAATTAAGTGATCGCAAATTACAATATCTGGGAAAATTTCTGGTCATTAAATTCTTAGTTTATTAAAAATTGTGAGCACTGTTTTAATAAAACGGTCAATTTATTGCAAAAAATAATGAAAAACAAAACAAAAATTTATTACTGCAAAAGTTATAATGCCAACCTAAAAAAGTTATAAAATGCCAACCTAACTGCCAACCTGACAGTGTTTAAGGTTGGCAATATTTAGCAAACCCCAGAATTTTAGATTATAATTTTATTTGATATTTTAAATTTATTAAAAACAGCGAAACAAACGCTTCATTTAAATTTTTAATATAATAATAGAAAGAAAAATGACTAAATGAATGCTCCATTGAATTGTAGTTAAAATTGTTTAAATAAAAACGCCAAAATGAACATTTTATTTGAATTCTATATTGAATAAAAACAAAAAAAAGAATGTTTTTAATTCAATTTTAGATTAAATAATACAAAAATACCTACCTAACAATAATGCTTTATTAAAATTCAAAATGAAAACAATTAAAATAAAACGACCAAACTAACATTTTATATAAATTCTAGAAAGGAACTTTTTATTTAAATTGTTAATATAATTAAAATAAAAAGTGGAAAAACAAATATTTTAATGTTTCTAAATAAAATAATTGAAATATGTTTTCAAAGTTTCAAATTCTCTTTAATATTAACACAACATGTCTTGGAGGTTTGGGATCCTTTTAACCTTGAAAAAAAAATTTTAATGAAATTTTTTAAGTTTTAGTTTCACCAAAAAAAAAATTTTATTAAGTACTTATTAGGGAGATATTGATGTAGTAAATTATATACATTAATGAACTTTTATTTGCAAGTCTCTCATGCCTAAACATAGAAACACAAACCTTGTTAAACAAACTGTGCAGAGAAACAAGTTGAGAATGGTTTCAATAGTTTAATTTTTTTTTATTTGACATTTTAAAATACTAAAAAATTTATGTTAAGGTGCTATGATTAACTTTTATATACTAAATAAAAGAGAATGAATTTTTTTTAAATTAAAAGAAAGTTTATTTTTAAATTGTTGGCTCTAGTACCAATGATCCTATCAGCACTAAATCGCAAAATTTTGCATCTTTCTTAATCCCTTGCCCAAATAGTAAATTTTTTGATTTATTTTCCAGGTAGCCCTAATTACCTACCACCTTTACGCCTTGATTTGTGTCTTTTCTCTAACTATAGTTTATGCTCAGTTTCTCCTTGTTTTTCTTTGTTGTTCAGATCACTCTATCATTTTACTAAAACTTTGATTTTGTGTTTCTCTATCAGGTTCATCCTATCATTGCACTTTTTACTACTGCCTAAAGGCTGAAAGTGATTTTTTTTTTTGTGACTTGTGATGATTCTCAGATTTCAGGGTTCCCTCAGCTCTCGAAAATTCTGTAAAATCTTGCAATTTTTCATTTTTTTCTCAAAAGTTCTGAAAAGAGTCTTGAATTTTTCAAAATATGTTTTTAAAAATATGTTGTCATCTCTTAAAATAACGTTGGTTTCACAGTCAAAATTTTGAAACTTAGAGACATTTTATAGTTCTGATTCACAAATAAAATAATAATTAAGCATATTTTCTTTTTTCTTCAATATAATTATTGTTTAAAATGAATTTTTCAATATAGTACACTGTTAGTTACCTCTAGTTTACCCTAGTTAGATGAAGTCTCTTATAAGGATAAAGTTTATGAAATAAGTGACTCCCTCAATTGAAAAACCAAAGTCGTGGTCTAAATTCGTTGCATCTTATATGTATCTTAAAAAATCAAAAATAATCATTTTAGCTAACATATTTATTTTATTATGGTTCATAATGCTGCGAATAAGTTAAGTAAATTTTTAAAAAAACTTTTATTCTAAAAAAATAAGGAATTTTTAAGTTTTCTTTAGAAACTATTATTAAAGAAAATAGTTCTTTGCTCCATTCAGTGATGCATTAAAGTTTACTATTGTTAATGATATGTTGTTAGCTTTGCTGTTGCTATGATTTATTGTAAACATTAGCATTATTATCATTAATTATGAACAAAATATTTACTTTATTTTTGATTGTAAGTTAATTGATAGTTTAAACAAATATATATTTCTGATTGTAAGACAATCAAAAATATATAGTTGATTAAATTTAAATGTTAATATTCTAAGTTAATATTCTCACATGGTCAGTCATCAGTTAAATGTGGTTCAATTGATGACTGCTACTCCTAAAAGCATCAAATTTAACTAAGAGATTTTTTTTTTTTTTAAACATCTTTGCTTCCAACCACTAATTACAGTCTTCGGCAGGAATGACGGGCTATAGCCCGTGTCCGTCTCCGCACCCGTCTAAGTCAGTTTAGACGGGCGAAATAAAGCCCGTCTGAAACATAAGTTTTGTGTAAAAAAAAATATGAATATTTTGATGTTTTTTTATTAAGATACTCTTTTAAAACTTCTCTCGTGACATAATTTTAATATGGATAGCAAACTCCAACTTATAATTGTTTATATTTAAATATAAAAATTTAACAATTTAATCATTATTGTATAACATGATGTAGAAAATAATATAACTAAATCTTACAGTTTTTTAAACGACGATAACTGTTTGATATAATACCAAACAGTTACCATATTATGTTCAAAATTTAATAACTATTATATTAAATAGGGAAATATACACATGTGATGCACAAGAAGTGCATCACATGTGTATATTTCCCTATTTAATATAATAGTTATTAAATTTTGAACATAATATGGTAACTGTTTGGTATTATATCAAACTGTTTGGTATTATATCATGTTGTTTTGGTTTTTCAATGTTTATAATAATAACGATAATAAACTAATTATCCATGTATTTTGCTTTTTTCCGATAAACTAGTTTGTCTTACTTTAAAGACATTTAAAGTGATATTTCCGCGTTAACTTCACGTTTTTTCTTAAAGAAACGGCAGTTTATTTAATATGCAATTATATAACTCGTTATTGAAAATGAAATATCTCATTAAAAATCAACAAACTAATCAATTTTTGTAGATAATATAAATAGTGTTGCTTTATAGTTATGAAGTCATTCAAGTTATCCAGTCATTCAAGTTTTTCAAGTTATTCAAGTTTTTCAGTAAAGATAGTAATGGCATCATCTGGTAGAAGAGTTACATTAGCAACATTTTTGAGTTGGGGTAAAGATGGAGTCTGTGGAAAAGAAACTGAGGTGGAGAATGGAACAATTTTTGTTGTGAAGATATGGTGTATGGTTTGTATAAAATATAAAAAAGAATTGCTTCGCGAGTTAAAAGCTCTGGCAAAATCAAAAGCATTAGCATTTATAGAGGGCACTATGAACATTAAAGCTAGCAACATACATACGCTTTTATACATGCTTATATTGTAAAGTAACGGAAGCCCCGGTATCTTAAGAAATTATTAGTACTTCTAAATAAAAACTTATTTTATTAAAAGAAATTAGATTTCAAATTTTTTATTCACGTATAAGAATAACTATTTCGGATCAGGATAGGCATAGGTAAAGCAAAGTTATAAAAATATAAATAACAGTTTAAGTTTTTAATTTGCACACCCAATAGAATGCAAGAGTATATAAATAATTGAATTTGAAAAATAACATAGTTACGTATCATATTACCAAGCTAATACCAAACAATTCTAAAACTATCGAGCTCATTGATTCAAGGTTAAAAAAAAAAAAGATTTCAAACTATTTGCTGAATAATTAAAAAAATTAGATTTTGAAAATATTATGTAATATTTTTATTCACAAAGAATAAGAGAAACGAATGAACTAAAAAAACACGATAAAAACCTGTATAATCTAATCGAATACTTAAATAAAACAATAATATATAAATATACTCAAAAAGACTTCGGTAAAAAAACACGTTAGGATGCTTGAATAAGGAAACGTGATGAAACGCCATGGTTGTTTTGAGGATTTTTCCCGTTGTTTTCACGTTCATTCGTTTGACTATATCTGCCAGATATTATCTGGAATAAAGATTTAAAAAAAAAAAACATAAAAAACTGAATAAAGTTCCTTCGAGTAAGAAATCTAAACAAAAGCAACCATAAAACAACTAACCCACGTGAAACGAAATTAGATCTGTGCAAGTGAAAACTTTGAAAAACAATTATTGAAATCTTAGTTTTAAGTATTATCCAACTCATTTACTGCAGTGTTTTAATTACTTAAGTAATTAAGCATTTTAAACAGTTAATTGCTTTCTAACATATTATTTTAGTGCAATTCACAAAATGTTTAATATTCAATGACATTTTCATTCAAAAAGAAGAACAGAAATTAACAAATTTAAAAAAAAAAAAGTTCAAACTTTAGAATTTTTTTTCAAAGTTTAAAAAAGCCCGTGCAAGACCATCTAGACGGGCGGCCCTCATAGCCCGCCAAGTCTATTTAAGACGGGCTTTTCATAGCCCGTACGGTTTTTATTCCTGCCGAAGCCTGAATTAGTATTGGAAGTTACTAGAAGAGAAAAAAAGAAGATTGTAAAGCAAGATAACGATTGACAGACGACTTAAAAAGATTACAAATTATATGAGTCAGGAAAGCAAGATAAAGGAAGCGAATTCCAAAGAACTGATGTTTGAGGAAAAAAACTGGACAAATAAGAGTTTTTGGGGCACTTAGGAACAGTAACAGAAAAAGGATGAGACTTAATTGAATGACAAGTAACACAAGAATGAATTTTAGTAGATGGCACAAGAGACGCTAGCT